TCAAAGAGATGTACAGCAGGGAAACAGCCCCTTCGGTCTAATTCATCTATGCTTACCAGATATCCTGAATAAATCTAGTTCCATTTGCCAGCATTTGGCCCATATCCCTCTAAACCCCTCCTATTCATATACCCATTCAGTTGCCTTTTAAATGTTGTAATTGTACTTCTTCTGGCAGCTCATTCCATACATGCACCACCTACTACGTGAAAAAGTTGTCCCTTAGATCCCTTTTAAATTTTTCCGCTTTCACCTTAAACCTGTGTCCTCTAGTTTTGGACTCCCTCACCCTGGAGAAAAGACCTTGCCTATTTACCCTATCCATGTCCCTCATAATTTATAAACCTCTATAAGGTCACCCCTCAGCCTCTGATGCTCCCGGGAAAATAGCCCCAGCCTATTCAGCCTCTCCCTAAAGCTCAAACCCTCTAACCCTGGCAACATCCTTGTAAATATTTTCTGAAGCCTTTCAAGTTAAACAACATCCTTCCTATAGCGGGGAGAATGTGCCTTTGCAAACAAAGTCCCTAGAAAAATGCAGCAGTTTTTGTCGAGGTTCATCCTGAGCAGCTCTGTGACGCTTAGCATGCCTCCCCCACTATCAACATCCTGGAGGTTACCTCTACAGTGGGTACAAGATCATGTAAGAGGCTCAGAATGCTGCAGCAAGGAACTCATCTCCTGACTCCCAAAACTTGTCCACTATCAACAAAGTACAATTAGGAGTGTGATGAAATATTCCCCAGTTGTCTGGATGAGTGCAGCTCCGACAACACTCAAGACTCACTTCAGGACACTTGACACTAGCCAGAACAAAGCATCCAGCTTGAATGGCACAACGTCCTCAAACATTCATTCCTTCCACTACCGATACACAGTAGTAGCTGTGTTACCATCTACGAGATGCACCGCATAAATTCACCAAAGCTCCCTAAGACGGTATCCTCCAAACACATGACCACTACCATCTAGGAAGCACAAGGCGGAAGTTACAGGAAACACTGTCACCTGCAAGTTCATCTCAAAGTCAATATCCTGACTTGGAAATATATCATTGTTCTTTCACTATCGCTGGCCCAAAATCCTGGAACATTTTCCCCCAAGGACAATCTATATGAAACTTCACTAAATGGACTGCAGCAGCTCACTACCACACTCTCAAGGATAACTAAGGATGGGCAATGAATGCTGGCCCAGTCAGCAAAGCCACCATCACCTGGATGAATTTTTTAAAAATCCGGTGAAAAACTTATTGGAACTGCAAGACAAAGTTTCAAGTTTTAATTTTTTTTTGTAATAAACATTCTAAAGGCAATACTAATGTTCAAAACTATAGAAAGGGTAACCTTTAAGTTTTCAACACAACCCAAAACCCCATGGCACAGTTATACTTCACTGCCCAATGATTGCAGAATTGCGGCATTTATAACAAGTGGTTAAACATCGTCTGAGCTTCTGATAGGTCTCTTCTCCACATTTTGCTGAGTCATAACATCAAATGACCATTAACATGCACTTAATTTCCAGAAAAGTCCTGAACTGACTGCGAACAATAAGCTTACTGCGAGTGATTCCTTCTATTGTCCTTGGATTGTCTCCAAGTTTACCACACCACCTTTGAAGAAACTACCCTGACTAATTAGATCTTCATTCTTGGGGTGAGGAGGTGCAGGTGTGGCCACCACCTCTGAATGCAAATCAGAAGCAGTCACAAGGGTTCCAAGTGTATTGTCAAGGTGTGTTGTTTAAAATGCCTACCTCTGTTCTCATGAGACCTTATCCCAGGTGTTTCCTTAATAATTAATGGAATGCGGCTGCCACCTACTCCCCATAACTATGCATGACAACTCACAGCAACCATGTGCCCCATCCACCACCAACAGCAATCCCACTGCCAAATGGCCCCTCATATTCTGCACAACAGCCTATGCCTTCCACCTAACCCATTAACCCTTTTGTTCTGGATGACAACTCAGTGCTCATTCATGAGCCCAAACCCAACATCTCTTTTTTTCCCTTAAATTCTCCAAATCAATTCAGCTAGAATCCACCATTGGCAGGCTTCAGGATCCACAACGGGATGAAATAAAATGAATGCCTAAATACCTACTAACACTATACTAAAAATGTGCATTGGTACTAGTGGATACTAGCTGAGTTAGCATGACAGGTGAAGGGGGAAAAAGGGTGGAACTATTGATTGACACTAAGATGGCATATGGGCATGAGTGGACTGGAGTAGGTCAAGGGGTATAAGGTAGCATAGGGAGTGTAAAGAATTATGGAGAATGACAGAGGTTGCAATAGATGAAGCATGGAGAGCATGTGGAGTGAGGAGGACTGAGGTGGCATGTGAACTGGGGAAATATTTTATATTTTATTCTTTCACTTTAACCTTAGGTCAAAGTGCTGGATCTCTGAAACAGTTTTCTGCTTAGCCTGCTTCAGAATCCAGCAGACTTCTCAACTCTTCCTGAATCATCTGGCCCAAATTCCAGTGTAGCCTGCCATCCCGGGCTGATCATTGGGAGTGCACGTGGACATTTTTAAAGTTCCTGGGAAAAGTCATATAGGACTTTAAAAACATTAACTCTATTTTGCTCTCCACAGTGGCCCACTACGTTTCTCTAGATCCTGTCAGTTTGATCATTCTACAGGCGTTAGCCATCCTTCAGGAATGCTTATGACTATTCTAAAAATTTGTAATACCTAATTACAGAATAAGACATATGCTACAGAAGAAAGGAGGTCCATATGAACTCAGCACGAAGTTGAAATGGCCTTCTTGAATTTGGCTCCTTACCTGGAGTCATGCCCAGGCACTTTAACGCACTGTTGTCACTAATAGTAAAAATAGCTTCTGTCAGATAAAGCGGTAGAACTTCTGGATCCAGCATGCATTTGTTATTTTGGATGCTCTGCAGTATCTCCACGGCTATTCAAAAATTTCAATTATTCCGTTTTACCTTAACTTAAAGGGATAGTTTAAACATAGCAATCTTAATAAACACATTTGTAACACAAGTTCAACATAGACAAGTGTGAGATAGTACAAATTGCTTCTTAGAAGGTGCTAATCCAGATGTAGTAGAGGACCAAAGGGAATTCAGACTACCAATATACCTATCACCAAAAATGGTTCCAAAGTTAAGCAATGTCATAAAAGAAGTAGACCAAGCTGAATGCTTTACTCTAGAAAGATAGAATTGAAAACTAGGAAAGCTATGATAAATCTGCATCCAACATTGACGCAGACCACATTGAGATTATTGCATGCAGTTTTCACCATTGTGTATAAAAGGGTGTAGAGATCCTGGTGAAGGAGCCAAGTATCACATCTCACTGGGGTAGTACACTGGAAATCAAGCCTGCTATTCACAGATTCATCACAAAATCTAAAGGTTTTTAATCAAATTTCACAAAAGTTCTCAATTTATCTGTCTACTTAGATTCAGGTTGGCTGACAATACTGTTCAGGTTTCTGTACTTAACAAGAAATACTATTTATTACAAAGCAATAGTCTAGCTACAGATAGACAAATATGAACTGTAAACAGAGATAGTAGGAACTGCAGATGCTGGAGAATCTGAGATACCAAGGTGTAGAGCTGGATGAACACAGCAGGCCAAGCGGCATCAGAGGAGCAGG